GTTCAGGATTGGGGGGCGGGGGAGGAGGTCCGCCAGGTGCGGGTGACAGGGTAGCGACGGCTCAAGTGTGGGATGGTGCAGAGAATTTGGCGGGAGGTTGGGGAGCGGGCAGGCGTTTGGGGAGGGGGCAGGGGCGATGGCCGCCTCGGCTCTGACAGGCCACACTCCGTGATTGCTGATGGTAACATGCGCGGGTTTAGTACGATGAACCTGCTTACCTGTTGGGTAAGTCGCCGGCACATCGAATTGAAAGTCAAATTCGTACTTGATGTAGTTGTGAATGTACCTAGGATTATCAGGCAGCAAAGGGAACAGCAGCAGTGTGCGCCAGTGGGTGTGAGGAACAAAAGCCGCAACCCCCACACGAGGCAAAGCCAATCTGCGCTGCCCAAGCGCAACTGCAGTGCATGCAGCTGGCAGCTGCGCAGCTGCAGCGGCGGATCAGATGCCGGCTTGTCAGGCCGCTGTCCATATGCAGTTCCCTCTGCCCCGCAAGGGACGGCGGCCCTAATCTGCCGCAGCACCTGAGCAACGACAGCACCGGCTGCCCGACCCCGCTGCAACCCGCGCATAGCCCATGTGCAGCGCCCAAGACCCAGATTTCATGGGGCTGCCCTTCCGCTGGCGGACAGTCACAGCCCACCGGCGAAGCAGCATGCAACGCGACAGGCCGAGGTGCGCACCAGCACTTCCCCGTCCACCGCTTGCCGCCGTCCTGCGGCTGTATAGTGAACCAGTCTGCATCTGACTCTTTGTTCATCTGGATGTACTTGATGAGCGCCTGCAGCTCCTGTTTGCACCAGAGAAGGCGGCCGCACGTGGCGCGATGAACAGGAAAGGTGAGTTGAGGCGGCGATCCCTAAAACAGCAGCCCCGGCTTAGGCAGCTCGGAGGCGGCGGCAAACAACGGGAGGGGCGCGCAGGAAGCCACACTGTACTTGTAGTGGACCTGCATGCGTGCAAGTCTTATAAACGCTTGGGCGAGTTGATGCGGTTGATGCTGTTGACGATGTAGACACCCCCGAGCAGCTGCGGCGACAAGGCCGCATGATGCAAGCGCCACAGGCGCTCCGCTGTTTGCAAACAGGCTGATCCGAGGTGACGGCGGCGCACCCGCTCTGCGTTCGCCCACCTGCTTCAGCCGCGCATCCCATTTCTCCTTAGGGTCCCTGGGCCCCGCGTTCTCCGTCAGCAGTGGGATCTTCTTGACCTGCGCCTTTGTGTTGTCGTCCCACTCCGCCATGAAGTCTCTAGGACGTGTACGTTCTGCTAAAAATCAGTGTATCACCACCAATGACACTTTTGCTGCTGGTAGATGGCTGCTGCCCGCTTGAGCACTATATGTGCAGTGGAGATCAGTGCTGTGATTGTCGAAAGGTATTTTTCTTTTATTTTATGATTTTATGTACCATTGTTCCACTATCGAACAGCTGCTGAGCGACAGCACAGGAATTGCTCAGCGCTGATCAGCGCGTGCAGTGCTGCGGGCCTGCTGCGGACACAGCCTGTTGATATGATACGCTACACCAGCTTCAGCTGGCCCAGCCCGGCCCCAAGGGGCACATCCAGGCCGTTGACTTATCAAGGTAGCTTGATGGCCGTTTGCAGGTTCTTAGGAGCGTAAACTCCTGCTGCAGCACCCAGCCGGCCACCCACTTGGACCGCCCAGGAGTTGACTTTTTGACCCCAGCCAACCCTTGCGTACCATCGTAAACACACATCAATGATCATTTTTGAAAACCCAAAACTCTAACCAGTACAGCACAGACCAACAACCAGTAGAGTTCATTGCTTGGTTCACAGGTTGGCACGTGTTGGCCATACCAATTTGCTGAGCGTTCCCCCTGAATAGCTTCTTTCGGGCTGTTGGCCTTGGCCATGGGAGACCCACGTGGTCGCGACACCTGGTTGGCACAGGTGCAGCATTGCAGCATTCTCAAGTAAGTGAAGGCTAGGATCAAGGGATTGAGGCCTGGCAGCCAGGGCAAAAACTCTGGGCGATCGAGCAGGTGGACGGCGTTCTTATACAAGCGCGCAGGTGCTGCACACATGAGAAACCCTTGCTGTTGATGTTTACGGCTCGTATCACATTGTCGTAGGGCATCACCAAGCAGGCCATCAGTCGAGATGAGGCTTCGCAGTGGTTGTTTGGGCAAGGCATCATATTTGTTCGGGTCCGCGGCGCACTCACGCAGGGCATGTGAGGATACAGCTTAAGCATCACGGTACTAACCAGCACGCAGGCAGCGCGCTGACCAACAACAACGTGTTCGGGATGGGTGGCACACACATTGGCTGACATCCCTGTTCCACAATGGCCAAGGCGTCCCTGCGACTTGCGCCGCATAACCTGACCGGGTTACTACCATCGCCGCGCGTTCTGCAAAAACTGCGCGGCGGCGAGATACCCCGTGTCAAAGCGCGCATCAGAAGTTTGGGTGGTCCCCGCTCGTCTGCCTTCAAATTGCGTGTTGCTAGTGATCAGACATTGGGGCGAGCTGCATCTCTGCGTCATGGGTATCGCATTGTTATGAAGTTTGCACAATGATTTGACATTGAGATGTGATATTCTGGATTGTTACCTGGTGGTTGATGGCTACCTTGCGAGCGAGGCACACCCAAACCAGCGCCCTGCCCCAAACTGGCCAGGAAGTGACCCGCCTACCTGCATGCCGGCTGGCGACCTGGTGCGATTTTCGCTCTGATTACGGTGCACATTCATGCGATCTGACGGCTTGCTATCAAGTCACCAGAGCGCACCGCAATCAGAGTCGCGCTGCGTGGAGTCGCCAGCCAGGCGATCTCGTTGCCGAGCAGCCCTCCAGGCATCCCTCAGAGGCACGGGGATGGACCACCGTGCAACTGTCGTGCTGCTGGTGCTGCTCATGGCACTGGCCTACGTGGCCGGTGACCCCTGTGTGTGCGATGGATCTTTTGGCACCTCGCCATGGGAGAACAAGGTGTCCCAAACCAGGGCAGAGAACGGCAAGCCATTCATCGATGCTAAAGTGTTTCCCCTGCACAACGCCACCGCCAAGTGGGACATGCGGGTGCGAGCCGCCTACATCGGCACTGGACTCAGCGAGTGTACGGCTTGTGTTTGTTCGGAGCTGATACGGTGGCTTCACAAACGAGGGTGGCTTGAAGAGTGTCAGCACGAATGCAAGCGCTGAGCTGGGGTACAAACCTGGGAGCCGGTGCATTTGCCTCACCAGTTGAAAGTGTTTTGCACTTGCAACTTGAAGCAGCATCCCCGCAGGCTCCAACGCATTCACACCCCCCCCCCCCCAGGACACCCGTCCACGGCCCCACTCACTCCAAGAATGCAACAACCTGGATTCTGCCTCGTCATCACATATCCAAATCCTTTCGAACCCCGGCTCAGGGCATGAAGGCTGCCATCGCCAAAGGGGCGAATGTCAACCAGCGGGCGACGGAAGATGGGCTCACGCCGCTTCAGATTGCGCTGCTGACCAACTCCCTCGACACTTGGTAAGGCCCTGCCGTTCGAGCAATAAGGTGTGCAGCTGTATGTGCCGCCGTCTTGCTGCCGTACAGCACCCCAGATCGCCGTGGCAGTGGCGTGATGGCAGGGGCGTGATTGCCGGCGGCAGCAGCTGTGATGACAGGACACAATCACTACGGCAGCGGCACACGCGTGTGCGTGCGCAATCATGCACACACACATGCATGCCCAAACACACGCGCACGCGCGCGAGTGCGCATGGCACACGGCACACCCTCAACCCAGGCACCCCTACACCGAGGAGGTCTACCAGGCCGTCAAAATACTGCTGGACGCCAAAGCGGACCCCAACATCCCGTACAGCCCAGAAGCGCATCGTATGCACGACGTCAGCCCGGCCCCCTTGCACTATGCGTAAGAGCCTGTTGGATGCTCACATGCAAAGGGTGGCGGGGCGCACCAAGCGCCGGATTGCCGCACACGACAGCGTTTCACGCGTTGGCCAGCGAACGGGGGCTGACCTGCGGCACTCACTCCCGCTCGGCGTAACCTTGCTTGCGTGCTGGATGAAAATTCTTGACTTCGCGGTGTCCGTTACTCTTGGGACTCAGTGCATCAGCTTAAGTCATGTGTGTGTCGCCCCAATGGGACAATCGCGCATTTAGGCCGCCCTACATTGCACAAACACCAGACTACTGCAATGCGACAACCAATATGCAGCGCAGAAGGTGGGCGCGTCGATCTGGTCACGATGATGCTGAGGGCGGGCGCCAACCCCAACGCCCGCGACAGCTATCACTACAATGAAACGGCCCTGCACAAGGCGGCGCAATGCGATCGCAGGTGTGTGAAGGCTGATGGCATCATCATCATTGGTGCACCTGGGATCCTGCACTGTTATTGGGGGGGGGGGTGGAGATCTCCTCGGACCTGCTGACTGGCGCCGTGCGACACGACGACAACCGCTGCCGCAACCATGCACGCAGTCGCTCGTGGGGTCCGCGCGCGGCCGCAACTGTGAAGGTGCTGCTGGCATGGGGCGCCGACCCCACTGCGAGAGCCAATGGCCAGACGCCGTTCGAGATGACGCCCAATCATCCGACGTGCAAGCCGCTGCCAAAGGACCACAGGTTCACCATTCAGGATTGCCAGGAGGTGGGTAGCCAGTTGCAGATCGACAGCGCATGCAGGGTTGTCGTTTGGGCCTGCGTGAGCGACTGCATGGGCTGGCCATGTCGCCATCCAGCAGTGCACGCCCACAGCATTCAGGTCATGCATGCACACGTGCCAAGCTGCGCTTGGCTTGCCTGTGCGCCTGACATTGAGGGGTGCCAGAAACGCAGGCGCTGACGCTTGGAGGCATGCTAGCCTGCACCTGCAGCCCGCGGCTGCTCGTTTGCTGAGCAAATCCAATTTGCTGCTGGTCTACCATTCAGGTGTGCAAGGTGCTGCGCGACGGCTTGCCCGCAGCAGAGAAGGCGGCCATCAAGGCCGGCAAGCTGCTGGACGACGGCTCCAGGGACTTGCCAAAGTGCTGCGCCAATAGGACCTCGACAAACATCACACTGACCCAGTGCTGCTTCTGAAATTGCGCCTGCACTCGCCTGAGTCTCACGCCAGGGCTGCGTGGGGGGGACCCTTTTTGGACACTCTATTGTGCTGCAGCTTGCGGCTTGCGGTTCACCTGCTACCCCTCGCTGCCCGCTGCGGTGCCGGCCCGGAAGTTTGGAACGCCTGTTTGGCGTAGTTGGCGCTGCAGCTAGGTGCTGTGCACATGACATTCCTTTTGCACACGGCGTGTTCATCTGCCTGCAGTCTGTCGACTGTGCTGCCTCTGTGGGCTTGCTTCTGCAGGATTCTGCTTTGCAGGAACAGTGCCAGGGTTGATTGATTCAACAACAAAGAGCTGAGTCGACTCCTGTACGACTTGCCAAGCAGTGGATGCCAGTCATATATATGTTCCCCGCTCCAGGCCCCCGCCTGCCCCACGTACATGTGCACGCGCGAGTGACAGATATGCGATCGATTGATATCTGCAAACAAGACAGTGAGCGGCGTTGCAGCCATTTCCCCCAACAGCAGTCGCGCCCTGCTCACCGTGCACGGCTGTGTGGCATTGCCTTGCAGCCTGAACTGCTGACTTGGCACCGGAACACGTGCGCGCGCTGATAAGGGCGATATCAAGACACAATTGAATGTTACAACATACGTCCTGAGATCTTTGTCTGGCTAACGTGAAAGAGCTGTGCTGTGTGCTGAGGGCACCTGCTGACGTGGATGCAGCTGGGGGGACAGACAAGCTCGATGAACTTTACGCGAGTGGCGCTGCATCTGCTGCATCTGCTGCATCTGCTGCTGCATCTGCTGCATCTGCTGCTGCTGCATCTGCTGCATCTGCTGCTGCTGCATCTGCTGCTGCTGCTGCTGCTGCTGCTGCTGCTGCTGCCGTCGCCGCTGCTGCTGCTGCTGCTGCCGCCGCAGCTGCATGCTCAGGAGCTGATGGCGCGTTCACGGCTGCTGTACCGCCCGCAACCTCGCCCCCACTGCGGTTGTCACTGCCGCCGCTGTGCCTAAATCCCCCAGCCAGCCATGCGCACCTCTGGTCGCGACCAGAGATGCGCATGAATGGCTGGGGGATTTAGGCACAGCGGCGGCAGTGACGACCGTCAAGCTCAACGTTGAGCTTGACCGTCCTCCATTGCACGTCAACACGGCGGCCCCTGGCTGTCTAGGGGCCCGGTCCCGCGCCGTAGACCACTCTTATTTGTACGGGTGGCAGGGGCCGACGTTGCTCTCGCGTCTATGGTGCAAAGTTAATCAGGCCTGCCAGACACCACCAAACGGTGCAGTACAACTGCGTCCAGTGACATGGGCGGCTGCTCCCCGCCCAAACTGGTGCATGCAAGCGCGCATGCTTCAAAGCAAATCTAGACGTTTGATTGCACCAACATACTAACAGGGCGCACCCCTGCTGAAGGAGCATCGCGCAGCAGCAAACCAAACTCGGCAGCACATGGCGGGGAGGGAGCAGCGCGAGCAGCACAAGCAGGTGAGCAGGTGAGCATGTGCAAGGTGTGCTGCTGTTTGCAAGCCAGCACATAGGCACAGTTAACACCAAGAATCCACCCGAGCTTACGATATTGTATCATACGTTCACTTCCCAAGGGAGCCAGCTGTTTCTACTAGTTCTGGGCCGGCGTGCTCAGGCGTCGAGCTTGATCGAACGTGGAAACGGTCATATAATAGCTCTGGGCGGGCGGTGTAGCGCGTCCTTCAGGCACGATGGACGGGATGCAGGGGCAGGACCCCTTCTACCTCGTCCGGCAGGAAATACAGGACACGGTACGCGCGCGATGATGCCGTGAAAAAGCATACATATGTCTGAGCGTGCATCCGCAGCCCGCGGCGGCGCTTGGCGCGGGCGGCGCACCGCAGTGCGTGCTGGTCTTGCAGCAGTGAGAGATGCCCGTCAAATCAAGCAGCCCCGCGGATCTTCAGGGGCGTGCCGCCGCTCCGAGGCAGCTGGTACAGCACAAGCGTAGCACCACCAGCAAACATGCCTGATCAATTGAAGGACAGGCACTCCTGCATGCCCCGTTCGTGGCTCAACAGTCAAGTGCCGTCCTGCGTGCCATCGGGCGCTGCGCTGCCGTGGCGCCCCCGCCAGGTGCACGAGCTGCAGCAGAAGATGTCCCGATTCCACGGGCTCACCGCAGCAAACCCCGAGCGCAAGCAAATTGCGGCTAGCGTGCGCGAGGGGTGCGACTCCCTCAAATGGCAGGTGGGCTCCGCGGCTCGGCACCGCACGGCAGCGCGCGGCGCAGCGCAGGCGGGCGCCGGCGCGCCGCGCCGCGCCGCGCCGGCCACGCTGGGCGGAGCATGACGGCTCAATGAGAGCGCCAGCAAATGCGACCCCTCGCACGGCACAGCAAGGTGACGCATTGCACCCCTGTCAGGCCGCTCGGACCGCCAACGCGTGATCGCAAGCACCGCTTGATTTCCTCAACGCATGCACACACGCCGTCGCAACCCCTGAAATCCGCCGCACGGCAGGTCAAGGAGCTCGAGGCCGCGGTCGACCGCGCCGCGGAGCAGCCGCAGCGCTTCAACCTCACGCCCGACGAGATCGCGGCGCGGCGCAAGTGGACCGTATCCACCCGGCGGCAGATAGATTCGATGCTGGAGACGCTGAAGACGGCGACAGCGGCGCCCATCAACGCGCTCGAAGCCAAGGCGCGTGGCCGCGCGCTCACGCTCTTGCGCGAAAAGGGAGGCTGTGGAAAAAAACAGTGGCGCGGTGCCGGGGAGGGAGGGAGGGGGGCTTGCCGATACGCCAGCTGCAGGCGGCGACAGGGCTGGGCCGGGCAGGGCGGGGT